ATACTTTTAGAATAAGCACTAAACACTGAACTTCATTTGCATGTGTAAAAACATTAAGAATCTTGTCGCCCACTTCTCTTAGTGGAACGGAGTTTAGAATTCTGATATGAGTAGGTACTTTTGAATTCTTCAAAGGTTAAATAATAAAAAAAAACATAATATGCATGCATGTGTAGTATAACTCACATTCGAAGAGATAAATGAGATTTAGGTAACTTGGTAGGTAGGTACTTCTTGTTATGTCAATGAGTCAGGTAACTACACCTACTAATGGTTATTAAACTTTTACTTTCAATTTACACAATTTTCTTGTTATGTTAATGAAAGTGAATTTGTATCTGCATACAATGGAACGTGGTTCGTGTTAAACATCTTGCGATGATTTGCACATCCATACGGAGGAGGGAATTGATCTTGTTACAATGTCAATGTCAGTATCATTTCTGTGTTGTCATTTTAATGATGTGTTTTATAATATCTTGAACCAAATTAAGTAGCGCCACACGTTTGTTTATTCAAATTAAATGATTAATTTATGATCACATTCAGGTGTAAAAAATATGAATTTTATATAGAGTAGGTATGGAAGTTAATAAAAAATAGGCGAGATAGGTTGGTAGGACACCTTCTCAGGCATTAAGGTCTAGTCAGAGACATATTAGAGGCAGAAACAGGAGTTAGGAGGGGTAGAGGTAGACCTAGATTAGATTACNTGAGGAGCTTGACGAATCAGTCTATAGAGATGGCATTAATAGACTGGAACACCGCTATGAGAAATGTATCAGCCTTGGAGGAGATTATGTTGAGAAATAAAAAAAAAAAATTTTTAAAAACCTTGTTTTTCTTGGTCAGGCGGGAAACTTATCAATCCACCCTCGTACATTTAACATTAACGTTTTACACCTTTTCATAGAAAGGCTTTACGATTATGATTAAATACAGAATTCTGAGTTTTGCCGTGGTAAAGATTGTTCCGAAATTGTAAATTTTGAAATCTATTTTTCGTAGCCGTCCTAACAACACAAATTAAACGTAGTGTGAAAATGTCTAATATTTTTACCATTTGCGCCATTTATTTATTTGTAAATTGTTGATAGTTTCTATTTAAAATAGTTCTACAATTCTATTTTTTCTAAGTTAAAATTCACTCTCGTTGTTATGTAAACAACCCTGAAGCAACGTTTTTGAATGGTAAATTAAAAAAGAATTTTGGAGAAAACTTTAAAAAAAATACCTGGTAAATTATTAAAGAATATTAGCGAACAACTGAAATTACGTATGTAGGTACCTAGATACTTTTAGAATAAGCACTAAACACTGAACTTCATTTGCATGTGTAAAAACATTAAGAATCTTGTCGCCCACTTCTCTTAGTGGAACGGAGTTTAGAATTCTGATATGAGTACTTTTGAATTCTTCAAAGGTTAAATAATAAAAAAAAAACATAATATGCATGCATGTGTAGTATAACTCACATTCGAAGAGATAAATGAGATTTAGGTAACTTGGTAGGTAGGTACTTCTTGTTATGTCAATGAGTCAGGTAACTACACCTACTAATGGTTATTAAACTTTTACTTTCAATTTACACAATTTTCTTGTTATGTTAATGAAAGTGAATTTGTATCTGCATACAATGGAACGTGGTTCGTGTTAAACATCTTGCGATGATTTGCACATCCATACGGAGGAGGGAATTGATCTTGTTACAATGTCAATGTCAGTATCATTTCTGTGTTGTCATTTTAATGATGTGTTTTATAATATCTTGAACCAAATTAAGTAGCGCCACACGTTTGTTTATTCAAATTAAATGATTAATTTATGATCACATTCAGGTGTAAAAAATATGAATTTTATATAGAGTAGGTATGGAAGTTAATAAAAAATAGGCGAGATAGGTTGGTAGGACACCTTCTCAGGCATTAAGGTCTAGTCAGAGACATATTAGAGGCAGAAACAGGAGTTAAGAGGGGCAGAGGTAGACCTAGATTAGATTACTCTTCGCAAATAGTTAAGGATGTGGTCTGTTCCAGTTTTAGAGAAATGCGAAGTTTAGCTCAGGATAGGAAAGAGTGGAGGTACGTGTCCAACCAGTCTTAGGACTGATGACCTTATGATGATGATGATGATAGAGTAGGTAACTAAATAAGTAAATGTAAATAACTATGTCGAATTTGCAATAAAAAGTGTATAAAATGTTGTGCACAATCATTGTTACTTTTTTCGGTAAAATTTTTGAAAAATCACTTTTTTTTAAGGTTTTGTTTACGTTCCCTCAATGAATATAACTTCGGCATAGATGTTTCAAATTTTCTTAACATAGTATCTCATTCCGATCCGTACAAACTAGGATGGGTGGATCGACTTGAGCATTTCGTTTATTCAGGAAGTCGGACCAACCATAGGTTCAACCATAATGGGGCGGGAGAGGTTGTTCATAATGAGAAACCAGACTAATACAAGTCCTTGAAAGAGGACAGCAGCTTTTCCAGTACTAATGGTGACAGAGATCACGAGAATCGGTATAGTACTCTGATGCACAATACTGCAATGTGTAAAAAAAAGGAAAACCACCACATTATGATATCCTGAATACAACAAACTGAAACTCAAATGATGACGTCATCTGGGGTAAAGCACTCCGGAAGTAAATTAGTCCCCCCATTCGGATGTCCGGAAGGGAACTACCTCGGGAGATGTCATCAAGTGCAATATTTCACGAGTCGGAGCGTGGAATTTTAGAGCAAATAGTTAAAGATGTGGGATGTACTGGTTTTAGAGAAATGCGAAGATTAGCTCAGGATATGAAAAAGAGTTGAAGTGCATTTTTTGATACCATCTACACCTTGGGACCTACTTCACATGGTGCTGGTATACTCCAATTACCATTAAACAATAAATTACTTTTTATTATTTAATAGAATGTAGATTATCAAGCACATAAAACATTTTCTGATTTATTTTATTTATTGTATATTATACTCAGCAACAGACCTGTAATTTTTCTTTAACCTTATCGTTAACTATTAATACTTGTTAAATTCGCTTAATAACATCCCTTACAAAAAACATTACACTTTCACGTTTCAGTTACGTTGTGGGCTCCTTGAACTTCCTATATATATAGGAAATCCTAGGCAAAAAGCGTTTGAATTCATATTACGTCATCCAATTTATTTTCCTTGATCGACTTTTTCTTGCAGCTACGAATTAAAGCATTAAATTGTAATAATTTGTTAATAACAATTAATGGTATTTTGGTGTTCGCAATTTGATCTGTTAAATAGAATACGAAAATTAGAATAATCGTGAATTTAAAACCAAAATGAGCTGTTTGAAAACAAATCAAGAATGATGCGATGTAGATTATATTGAACTCTTAATAGTAGAAATTTTCATAATGGCAGTTGGCAGACATTCACCTCTATAAACCTGTAATTTATAGAGAATGTTTCCTTTTTACGTTTACGTTAATGTGACGCTGAACTCATTTTATTAACTTTTTTATTAAAAGGCAGTAAAGGGGAACCATTATTAACTAGCTCAATCTCTAATACATGTTAAAAAAATTACTAATATTTTCCTGATTATTGTTAATGTAATAGACTGAACTTTTCACGTAAATACAACTATACCTAACAAAATCCCGACGTTTCGTCTATTGATTGTGAGCTATTTCACTTACAAAATTAAAAACGATTTTACGTTCTCTTCAAAACAATGTATTAATTCAACAAAACTTTAAACAGTTACTTTCATTACAAATATATTTTAATCCAAGATGTAAACTGTTACTTCTTGAGCAGATAAGTATTACTGGAAAAAAACCGAAATGTTTAAAATATGTATAAAAAGGTTTCTATTGAAAATAACTGTTCTTTTTTTATAAATTATTGTTAAAAATATTTTACGTTTATATTTATAAGTATTGTTTTGAAGAGAATATGCTGATCACGTTTTTACTTCTGCGACTTAACAATTTTTTTAAAGAAGAAGATCAAAAATTTGGTTATATTTAGCTGACATATTCAGAATGATTTGTTGGATAAAAACTTGTAACATATAACTACAATGTTACAATTAAAAGTTTTTTTTGTGATATAACTATAAATTTGGGGTGTTCGAATTTTACCCCTTTACTTGTGGTATACGACTTTGCTTTTTGCCAAATTTTATGATTCTATAGTTCTACAGGAAGTACCTTATAGGCTTTGATTCCTTTGCAGGTGTCAAAATATGTGGCATTAACAGCCGCATCTTTAGATTGCGTTGATTTAGAAGTTTGAGTTTTTCACAGCTCCAAGGAATTGCAAGTCTGAGTATTTGATACTAATCTTATTTTGATACTTCCAGGCGATCTTCAGAAAAAGGGCCTTGACAGACAGACAGACGGACAATAACGTGCTCCTATATCAGAGTCCCTTTTTATCTTTTGTGGTACAGAACCCTAAAAATGATTAATTTAACAAATAGGCATTAAAAACAATACTTATAAACTCTCCAAGGGAATGTAAATTGTATCGCTCATAATTTAGAGTTTATGGCCAAAAGCTTTTTGAATTTGATTTCCGAGTTCAATAATTAAAATTTCTCAAAAATGTTAGAGTAGGAAAGTATTGAAAAAAATAATAAAAGAAATGTTGCCGTTGACTGTAAAACGCTAAAGTGTAATCGTTAATCTTTTCAAGTTTTGGAAAAGTACTGAGAAACATATAAAAAGTAGGCGAACAGTCGCAAAGCACATTTGGTTTAAACAATATTTTTACTTAATTATTATGACCAGGGAAAATTAGTTAATACAAATGGTAAAGGACTAAATTGAGGCCAATTCATTAAAAATTCGACGATTCTGCTGAAAATTAGAGCTTTTGAAACTGTACCTAATAATATTAAATTCTTAGGATGAGAAAAAATAAACCGTTTCGTTTTTAATTATCAATGTTTTCTTTAATGTTTAATTTATAACAACAAGGAATTTAAAAAAGCCGAGCCGAAAAAGCAAAGAACGGAGTTAAGCGTTGGACAACCACATTGCCATTGCAGAAGTTGAAGGTTTCGTTATTTCTTGTTTGGTTCATTCAGTACTCCATTCATGTAGCACAAGCCTCCACTAAATTTCAAAAAAAAAGTTAATTAACTTTTTATAATATTATATATACTTATAGATTAAACCAATTCTTCTTCTTCAGTAGTTAAATAATACGGTAAAAAAGAAGTTGTTATTTCTGTATTAAATTATCAAGTCGAATAAGATACAATGTAATTAAAAACAAATGAAGTTACTCTTAACCATTTAACACAATAAATACAGTACAAAAAAAAATGGAACCCACCAAAGATTTTCGGGCTACTTATATTAACCAAACTGTTAAAGCCTAATATCGTAGTACGTATCTATAAGCAGGAGGTCAGGATCCAATGTGGCGATGGCGGGTTATAAAATACTCCTGTATTAAGTGCCTAACTTCGCGTTTTTATCCTAATTTGAATATGTTTATTTCACGTCTCACCCGTTCTTTTTTATTCTCGAAATAAACACAGAACGCTTTTACGATCAATTCTATATTTCAAAGCCCGAGCATCTCGATTCTCGATCGACTAATCGTTTTAGCTGGTTATGCTAATTTTTAAGAACACTTTCTTGCTCCGTATGCAAATGAATGTTTGTTGTTATTTTTACTACTTATTTATGCGGTAATAATAAGCCGTGGGTGGGTGAACTAGGAACACCAGCTCGAATAAAATTTGCTTCGGAAAACATTTCATTGGTTTTGGTAGTTTTTCGGTTGTTCACCTTCAAGCTGATTCAACTTAAGATCAAGTAATTATTATGCACATTGCTAATGAATAGCATCGGTAGCGTTGAAGCGCTGATAAACATTTTGTAAATTACTCTTGTAAAGAGTCAAATTATACAATAATACTCATTATTTACGTTTCTAAAAAAATTCGGCAAACCGAAGTGATTAATTATACAGTAGGTATGCAAAGCTTTGTAAGCCTGTTGTTACTTAAAGATTAAAGTTATTAAGAGGATAAAGATTAATAACAGACAATGTTGATAACTACCCAAATATTTAACCGATTCAGCATGTTTTTAATATTAGTACCTACCTAGTATCCTTGATGTGTAAGGTAGTCTGCTCTTGAAATCTGGTAATCGCGTGTAACTTTTCAGTCAATTTACCCTGGACTACCTTAAAAAAAAAAAAACATTAAAAATGGTATCGACACATAACATACATATAACTAAATTAAGTATCATTCATGAAGGTACAGTAAAAAGTTAAATGAGATAACATAAAAAATTTACAAAATAAACTAATACAATTTTGATAATAAGAAGATAATTAAAAAAAAGGCGAGCATATATTAGCATACACTCGTCAGAAGTGAAACTTCTTTAGATTGTGTATTATAATAGTACTTTAAATTATTTATTGCAATAGTTTGCATTAACTGATTATTAAATACCAGAAAAATACAACTTTATTTCGAGCGGACGAACGCGGAATATTGGTTTAGTTTTGTTAAAAACGTTTAGGCTTGCAACATACAAAAGCGTAAGGAGGAGTTACAAATCAAAACAAACAAACACAAGCGCATATGCAAACATATATATCTAAAATTTGTTAAAAATGACACCTTTTGGACATATCCACCAGGGGTTACAAGTGGCGCGTGACGTGACGCGTGACGCTACACTTTTTGGTTTTATATCCTAGTAAATTTCCTTCCTACCGTCGTAATTATTGGAAAAACAATGAAAATATTTTATATTATTCTTTATTCCTTCCTGTTTTTACTCAGTGTGAAATCAAAGCCAAAAGGGGTTAAAAGTTAAGTGTATTGTCTGAGAGTCACCGCGTGGTTATTTTAGTTATTTATTATATGTCTACAGATGTATGGTAATAATTGTGAATGTTAGTTGGTATATTTAATGTTTTTATCTATACAACTATTGAGATAGTTTGGTTTGTTAATTATTATACACCATTACAAAAAAGTTATTCCATCTGTTTTATTTCTTCATTAACGATAAGAGAACTAGCCTGAAGAAAGCTCGATAACTAGGGCGAAACATTGGCGATCCTTTTTTAAAAAATAAATAACTTTTAATTAATTTTGGCATTGATATAATTCCATATCTTTAGCTAAATAATTCAAAACTGGGGTGCTTTCCTACTGTCTTGGAACTGCTGAGCTATAGTAGGTAGGTAAGTAGTAAGCACTTAATTCAATGGATTGGATAGGAAATACATAAATTACTAAATTCTGATATGAAAATGTTGTTATACTATTTTTTAAAAGGAATACGGAGATTATGAGTTTCGATCTAGTGTATACCACAAGCTTATATTTTTAAAAACGGACATCTCTGTTTCGTCCACGTCACAGTAGAAATCTATGTAGCAAGAACATATTTCTGGTAAAATTAATGTTAATAATTTGAGTTTAGAGTTCAAATATACTGTCGATTTTTTTGTAACCCTTTTGTATTAATATTAGACAATATGGTAGAATTCCCAACTCTAAAAGCAAAAAACTATCTCCAGGGGCAGGTCTACGTGTGTATTATTTGGGCTATATATCAGGGCCTTGTAGGTGTAAATGATAAAAACCCTTATAACAACTATGGTCACGTGAATTATATTGACAAAATGGTAATTAGTTTGATCAATTAGACGGCATCTAACAAGTGTTAACCAGGCTCCCCCAAATACACTGTATTATCAGACACCTGGCTAAACATAATGAATTGAATGATTATTTTACTGATCCATGGCTAGACCGCTAGACAATGATTCATTATGGGTAGTTCATAAAGAACGACATAATAGTTTTAACAGAAGAGTTGGAAACGTCAATTTAAATATCTTCCATGTCAATCAAAGTAATTGAGTAGAAATTAGGTGTTAGACTTTATGCTTGAGAAGGTATCCTACCAACCTATTATGCCTATATGTTATTGACTTCCACAACGCCCTTTGTTCTCCTACTCTTTCTAATATATCCTCATTTCTAACCTCTAACCACGGTATCCTCACCATTCGCCTGTAACACCACTTTTTTGAACGCTTTAAAAGACATAATTAATTGAAAAATAGAGGGAAGGAGGAATAGAGGAAGATCTACGATTGAATAAAATGACCAACCTAAACAGTAAGCAGGAGTAACAGTTTACCAAGACCTTCAACAATCAACCGAGGACTGTGAAGAGTGCAGGGTGCTACACCGACATGAGCGTGACCCTTAAATGATGAATGAATTAAGCCCATAATATATAAATAATCCAAAATCTAAGAAATTATCTCTTTTAGGGAAGTTATATACAGAAATTCAAAAAGCAACTTGTAAATAATAATAAACTTATAATTCCCCCTTACAGCCCCGGTGAGAATCAACGACCTAACTATAAACTTTTATGCTTTGAAAATCGTAATTTTACTCTTCCACGTGCTGTCTAGAGACAGAGGAAGATACAATCTCATGAGAACGAGCTCTCAATCAGCCGATAACTCTATACTCTACAATTGATTTTAAATTGATTTTAAATTGATAAACAGACAATATCGTACACTCAAGCTCTTAACAAATCTGCAGTTTATTTAAAAAAAAAAAACAGGTGAGAGTTTAAAGCTTTGCTCTGTTCGCAAAAACTGGTGGATACTGGGAAACACTTCAAAAGTATACTAAGAAATCCCGTAATTAAAACAAAGGTGTTGTTTATATTCCTATATACGAATTACTGGAACATAAGTGTTTTTCTTTCGTTAGATTTACGTTTAATATAGATTTGTCGAATTGATAATGCTAGTCCAATAATTGTAACAATACTAAATAACTTTATTTACACAAGGATATCGATATACTTTATACAGTAAATTTTACAAATTTGATAAGTCTGGTTGTTGCGTCAGTCACGCGTTTTTTAAACTATTATTACTTTTTCATGGCAAATTATCCCTTTTCGTCACGATCATTTAAAATTTCTTACAGTTCCAATGAATCTGATCCGACGGGCCTTGATTCTTGACGAAACTTTTGTACAAATTAGAGTGGGTGGATCGGCTTGCGAGTTTCGATGATTTAGGGGGCCGAACTATAAGTTCAACCATAATGTGGGGTTCTTAAAGAGAAACCAAACTAAGATAAGTCCCTGAAAGAGGGCAGCAGCTCTTTCAGTACTCAGGGTGGTAGAGATCATGAGGATCGGTATGGGACTCTGATGCACAAAAGTGCGTGTGGAAGGCAACGGGAAACCACCATATTATGATATTCCAAGTAAAACTCACCGAAACAAAATGATGGCGTCCTCACTCCGGACGTAAACTAGTCCCCCATTCGTATGTCCGGATGGGGACTATCTCGGAGATGTCACCAATAAGTGCAATAGGGGTAGGTGGAATATTTCACGAGTCGGAATGTGGAATATTAGGACAATGAGACAAGTAGAGAAATCGGAAAATTTAAAAGTAGGGATGAATATATTAGAATTACATATAGTAGGTATTACTGAAGTCCGTTAGCCCGAAGCTGGAGACTTCTGGAGTGGATACTTTAGAATAATACATACAGGATCGGTGGAAGGTAATTCGTGGGTTGGAATTGTAATGCGTAGGAAAGTAAGGCAGATTGCAGAACTTCAACGCAGTAATAGATGAAGGTAAAGGGGGTGTAATAGCAGGTTCTTATGGATTAGACAATAGAAATTATAGGGTAGATAGGTTGATAGAATTTTGCGATAAACATAACCGCTGCGAATACTTTTATCAACCATCACGTTAGGAGGCGCCATACGTGGAAGATAGCCAGGTGATTTAGGGAGATGTCAGTTAGATTACATACTTGTTAGACAAAGATTTAAAAATCAGGTGAAGGACTGAAGGAGTCATCCAGGAGCAGATATAGATAGCGATCATAACTTAGTAGTTATGAAGACCTACCTTAAATTGAAAATTCTGAAAAAGAGGGAAGATCGGAAGCGTCTTGACTTTAGAAAAGCTAAAATATAACGAAACGCGTGATAGGCTAGGTACAAGGGCAGACGAAATACTAAAGGTAGCGGGAGAAACGAATGACAGGAACATAGAGACAGGATGGAATTGCATTAAAACGTGCCTAAAGTCAGCACCTACAGATATACTAGGTCTTAAACAAAATGAAAGTCAGAAACCCTGGATAACAAATGAGAAACGGGAATTAGGAGGGATAGAGGTAGATCTAGATTAGATTATCGTTTGCAAATAGTGAAGGATGTGGGTTGTTCTAGTTTTAGGGAAATGCGAAGATTAGCTCAGGACAGGAAAGAGTGGAGGTGCATGTCCAACCAGTTTTAGGACTGGCGATTTTATGATAATGAAAAATTCAAATGAGTTCTTAATACACTTTTATAAATTTCTACGGCTAAGTGTAGAGCATTCTGCCAATGTTGTACCGCTATTCTTTGATGGAGCAAACCTCTCTATCTTTCTCCATTCGATTCAGGGTGGTATATGTCCCAGGAATGTGGTCTCTTTTCTACGAAACTTGCTTCTATCGTGTTGAATTTATAAACTTCGTTCTTTTAGTTGTTTATAGACGTTTTCTAGTCGAAAATTGTGTTCTTATGGATTTTTACCAAAATAATTATATCATTTATGTATACCAGGCACTGTTGGGGGGTCAAACCTTGCATGTTGAGGGCCCGTTCTTTAATCCAAATAGCATATTTAAATATTCGTAATGTTTGCCATTTGCATTAAAGGCAGTTTCTGCAATCGAATCATTGGACATTTGGATCTGGTGGAAACCGGATGTGAGGTACAAAGCGGTAAAATATTGTGAATTTCCCAGGTGATCAAGGATTTCCTCAATGATGGGTAAGGGATGTTTATCGTCTATAGCTTTTTATTTAGTTCCCTATATGCAATTACCATGCGTCATTTAACCTTTCCGGACGCATCCTTTTTCTTTGGAACTATCCATAATGGAGAGATACAAGGAAAAAAGGAGGAACGAATGGCCTTATCCCTCAATAATTTAGCAATGTGATTTTCAACTTCTTCCTCGTGTACCTGAGGGTAGATTTTGATTGTATTGGGTTTTTTTCAGTGGAAATATAACAATGTTGAAGTATATTTGTGGTGGTTAAGTCATCGTTGGGTAAATGGAATATTTCATGGTATTTTATAATAATAGGTATTAGAGATTCTTT